TGTTTCTGAAAATATTTCGCTTCCGTTTTGTTCTCGTCATAAAAACAGAGATGCCGTGCGAGGACATGCAGCGGCTCACAAAAGTATGCATGCCCCTTGGACCTTTTCGCATTTTGTCAAGTCACAAATGCAAGCTTTAGTGTACTCTATTTGCATTTCACACGATAAACCTGGTTTTTAAACACATTGTAGAAATAAAAACAAAATTTAAAGCGTGACGCGCAGTGGTATTCAACGTACTCGGCTGCAGAGTCAAAACTTTTAAGAACCATGTTTCCCTGCAGTTACTTCTGCAAGTTTCTTGGAGTGCACATCAATGGACCATTTTTGACCATTTTCTGCTTGAGCTGGAGCTTTATTTGCTGAATGGAGAGAAAGAGTAATGTAATCATCAACTGTCAAATCAGTCACAGACTCTGAACTAGGTTTAGCTCTGGGGCATCTTTATGGTCACCTGTTTCCCATCCTCAAAGTCTTTCGCGTCAACTAAAAGCTTTTCTTACAATCATCCTAATATTTAACTCTCTCCACAGATTCAGATCTCTTGCAGTGTCGCTAAAAAATATTGAAATTATTTCTAGACAAAGAAAGCATTGCTTCTCAGATTTTACAAGGAAGAACATATGGAATCCCATACATATTTTCACTTCGCAATAAAGCACTTTGTGCTGGTCTATCACACCAAATCCCAACTTCATGCAATCAGTTTTGTGACCAACGTGACAAAATGCAAAAAAGTTCAGTGGGTATGGAATATTTTGCAAGATATTTTATTTTCATATATTAACTGTTTTTACAACATGTTGTCTTTGTAATAATTGTTTTGCTGGGTCTGTTCGATGAACATGGTGACCCTTTGTCTGCTGTGTATCAAAGAGAAGTTAGACGGCAATATTTTTTACAGCACTGAGTCATGCTGGGCCCTGTTCACAATCATCAAAACTATCTGTGTGCATTTCAACTTTTTTTTTTTTTTTTTTGCAGCTTGTACTCAGCTTTGTTGTGCAGTTTTATCAATCAGACGGTAGCTACCTGTCCCTCTCCTCGCCGGTTTCATCCAGAACCCAGGCGTAGGCAAAGGAGGCCTTTCCAGCCTTTTTCGACTCCTGTTCGTACTTGTGCATGGTGCGCTTGTTGACGTTCCCCAGCAGATAAAGCAAGTGGCCCATCAGGGTGCTCTTGCCTGCGTCCACATGACCTGCAGAGAAGAGAGACAACAGATGAGGCAAGGTAGTTTTGAAACAAAGCTGAGGATGCTGAGTGGATGCAGGGTGGCGAGGACAGATAAAGAAAGGAGGAAGAATGTGCTAATAATGACAAGCTAGGTAGCAGAGGGGAGAAGATAAAGCATGGCAAAGAGAAACCACAGGCGGGAGAAGGAAACAGAAGAGTTGTGCAAGTGGAGAGAGGCAGACAGAAATGGGAACAAGGATGGAGGGTGACAGGGGGAGGGGGGCCGTGGTAACACGAATGGTTTCATTCTCTATGGGAAACTAGAATCATCTGCACTTCTGAAACTACCAAGTCACTTTTTCTGGTGTAACTGAGAATGAAAAGATGATTGAGCAACTGTGCTGGGTCTGAAGTCAACACATCCATGCATACCAAACATGGGCAAAACTAAAACAGCAACACTGGTAATAAAGGTGCAACTAATCTTCCTTGACTTTATTGCTCGGCTTCTTGCACAAAAAACAACTACACCTGTACTGAAAGATATGTATATTTTTCTAACTCTTGTGCATAAAGATATTCGCTCCAAGTTACTTTCCCAGACAACTGTGCTTTCATCCTACCTATTACTACTAAATTTAACAGAGGTTTGCCCCCTTGTCTCCTCTCCAGTTCTGCCTTGATGTTGATCGCCTGCCGCGTCTTTCCGGAGGAGCGTCCTGGCGTAGCAGCGGCGGAGACCTCGTCTCCGTTTGACGTTTTGGATGGGGTCTCGGGTCGTTTGGGTGCGGCCTCGGGGACCGGAGTCGCCTTGGTGTTTTCGGGGCTGTCACCTCGCCGTGCTGGGCTGGCGAGAACGCCGTTTTCCCCTGAGCTGAGGAGAACATTTCATGTTTTGTCAGTGTAAAACAATGAATAGTATGATCTGAGTCACAAATATGAGATCAGAGCATGTAAAAAATAGAATCTTGTTGAACAAGAATATCATTGAAAAGTTCATGTTTAGTAATTCAATTCATAAGGTGAGACTCCAGGTATTACATAAAAGGTTTCACAGCAGTCTTGATAGTATTGCGAAGCAAAGCTCATTCAAGAGTTTGAAGGGGATTCACAAAGCAAGGACTTGTTGCTGAAGTCAGTCCTCCAAGAGCTGGATAGTCTTCAAGTCCAACTAACTATCCAGGACATGAAAAAATTGTCACATCGCTTTCTAAAGCATGAATCCAAGATGTGTGAGGTTCATATTATGGTTTCCCAAAATCCCTGATGATTTGGGGAGTGATGTCTTCACCTGGTGTTTGGCCTCCTGGTTTCTGTCAAGTCCAAAATCAGCTCAGTCATGTGCCATCTGGACATTTGTTTATAAAGATGCTGCTTCCTTTGCCAGCAAGACTTGGTATCCATTCAAGAAGACACCAGGCCTATCCATTTAGGAAAGCCCAGCTATACCAAGCTGGGCTTCCATTACACCTTAACAGAGCGACAGGGTGATCACCTCTTTGCCATGTTGCATTAATGCAGGAATTCCTTTGTAAAAAAATATGAGTTTTACATTTGGAATAGAATTACTGATCTTAACCTTTTGAGAGTACTTTACTAATTTATACCTGTTTGAGAGGGAAAAGGGTTTAGCATACCTGGGAACATCGAAGCCCATGGTCTGCTTCTTGCCAGAGACGGTCATTCTGGCCACTTTGGGAACCACTTCGGAGTCCAGTTTATCGGGAGCCGCATCTCTGCTTTTAGCTACGAGAGTAACGAGCAAACAGAAGCAACCATGATTTACCTGCAACAAAGCATACAACTGGGAGAAGACTGCAACTGAGAGCGAGCTGCAATGCATGCCTATCTCTGTTCACTTTGTCAGTTGAAATCAGTGAGGAAACCATTTGTATGGATTCAGAAAACTGCACACTACCATAACCTAGATAATTTAAGTCAGATGTAAAGCCCTGGGGCTGAGACTTGATAACGCTGATAACTGTACCGGTCACAGTTGCACATAGGCGTGTATGGTAGATATTTGAGAGAAGTGAGAGTGCACGGTGGAACCTGCTGTGCTGTGAATCTCCCGTCTATCAGATTGGAAGCTCATATTGTGCAGCAGAGAGACTCGTTGAGGTCATTGCTTTGTCATCCCAGTCCCGAATGGCCACCGGTCCCACTCATATCGACAGGTTTCTGATTCATTCAGACTGGGTTGCACAGCCAAGCCTACTGCACACTGTGTTCATGTGTGTGACATCCTGGCTCAGAAAGGGTTAATTTCAGAAGTGGCCGTTGCCTCCCGTCTCTACGTAAATAGATCAGCGTGACGCAGCATTTCACAGAATGAATCCTTTTGAAAAGGTGTCACCTCAGCAAGTGTAGAAACGGAGGTGAAAGCATTTTTTTTTTTACTCACGACTGATTAAAAGACAAATCTAGTCAGTTAGTTTCTATTTTAAAAAGCAGCCAGAGAATATATTTCTCCTTTTTTATATGTATATATATATATATATATATATATATATATTTTTTTTTTCTTTTTTTCAATAAAGCCATCGACGGTAAAGAAGCAGCCTTTAGCTGTGACCTCTTATTTTATTCATACTGTAGATTTAATTAAACACATACATCAGAAAAATACCCCTAGGGAAAATAAGAGGAGTGATTCAACAGAATATTAATGGACTTTCTCTAACCAAGCAGTCTCTGAATGACTTGTCCTGAATTAAAGAAAAAGTCCCTTTCTTTCTGAGAGATAGATATGCAACTCGCTGCACTCTGATGAGGACTTTTTTCCCCTTCATAAAGAAGGAGCACATCTATGGCCACAAACTGAACCTTATCAGTATGCAAAAGAAATCATTATTCTGAGCACAAAAGACTTAAGATATGATTTTTAATTATTTTAAATAACACTTTAAGGATGATGTCTGTCACTATATCTCATTTTTCATCTCCTCTCAAATGTGTAACATGACACAGAAAAGAGTTCACTGGGGAATTTCACTACTTCCTGCAGCTGTTTTTTTTTTTCTTTCTTGTCCATACAAACTAAAACTTCAGATGTTTCCATAACCTCCGATAAAAAGAACAGTAGCGAGTCCACATGTACAGTCCTGTGAAACGTTTTTGTCCAATTTTAGATCAAACTAATCAAGAAAAGTTTAAGAAAAACTGAGAGAACACAAAGCTTACTAAATACTGTGGCTGTGTGTGTGGAGTTTGTTCTGAGTTAATCTGGGGCCTCCTGCATGTGTCATTGTCACACTCTTGGAGTAAATTTGGCAGACTGGCCACTCCTGGGAAGGTTCTCCAGTCTTCCATGTTTTCTCCCTGTGACTTGGTAGCGAGTCCACATGTACAAAGCCTCAAAAAATGTTTTGCAACCCTTGTCAATGACTTTGATTCTCATACATTAGTGATTTTCTTTAGCTAAAACCACAATGTGCTGCCACATAGAATCTGTTGGCCCTCTTCTTTTTGTCAGTCATATTTTATTTAAGAGACTTTAAGTGACATTAACATTTGTTTGGATTTTTTGAAACATGCATGCATGACAAAATCTTTTAGAGGGCAAATACATTTTTTACAGCATTATATTTGAAATATATTGGAAATATCTGAGGAACAAAGTAATATGAATTATCAGCTAAAAAGTTATTTTTGACTGAACTTAATTTCACATTCTTTGTTGTCCGTCTGATGCCATGCTATCTTCACCAGTATCTTAAAAATTAAGAAACCTTCTCCACGACCAATGAACATTTCGATCTGTGAAAACGTGATAATGCTTTAGTAAACAATGAAGCACTAAGTTTTGTTTTTTTTGTTTATTTTTCCAGAAGCTTGCCTAAGGGCTCAGTAGCTTAAAAAACAAAAACAAAACAAAAAACGCTCGTATACATATCCAACCTTTGATGCTTGGAGCAGGATCTCTTTTCACTGTTTGGACTGTGAAGTAGACATTTGGCATGCTCCCATCCAGGATTTCTTTAGAAAAGGGGACCCTTGCAGTGAGTCATCTGCACACTTGGCCTGAGGGCCAAACTTTGAGCAGCATAAAAGGAGTCCGCCCAGGATATGCAAACACTGAGCATCCCTTCCCCCCCTCAAATAAACACTAGAGTGCATATAAAAGTTACAAGAGGCAGTAGTAAATTGGTGAGAAAATGTGTAGACACGAAGCTACAGATGCAAAATGTGGAAGGAGGGATATAATATATGGTGAAAGATATAAAAGCAAGAAATTAACAATATCCTACATTGTATGTTTATGTGCATGTAATACTAAAATCAACTCTATGGTGTTCTTAAATGCAACATTTGAACATCTTAAATCTCTTCAGTTTTCTTTCAACTGGATTTTTGTCTTAATAGAAAGATAGGAGAGATGAGAATTCAAAAGATGGACTGGGCTTACCACTGGAGGCCGCTAAAGACTTTGTAAGACAAGAACTGGTAAAATATGAGTCTTTTCAAAAGGGGGAAATGTGTGGGGACAGAAAGGGGGAAAACACCCAAATCAATATGTGTACTGAAAACTTGATGTTTGCACCACCTCTACATAAGTAAACTATTTGTTACAGATAACACAGTTGAAACAAGATATTCACATTCACTACATAAGAAAAGTTTATTGTCTTACTTTCTAACCTTTCAAATCGGACTAAAACTTTATTGCTGCACAGCAGTTATGATTATCCACAATGTCTGTACTTTCGATCATTTTTATTTGCTTTTTTTTTTTCAAAGTCCGAAATTTACACACACTAAGATCCCTATGCCTAATCACAGTTTGGAAAAGCCCAGATGATTACATCATGGTTTTATAAGCTTAATTAAAGAGATGTAGAAGCACAAGTATGGATGTGTTTTCAGGCAACACCCCAAGAATACCAGATCCTGGTGTGACATCATAGAAAAAAAAAATTAAATAAATAAATCAGAAATGTAAACCTCAACAACTTCAATTCATATTTGATACAGTTTGCCAGATACCTAAAGGTGCCACATTGATCTGTTCAAACAATTATAAACAAGTATAAACACCACAGGAATGTCCAGGCGGTATGCAGATCAGAGAAACACTGGTTCCATTCCCCAGAGATGAATGTGTTTCAATGCAAAATGTGGGCATCAATTACAGAACAAAAGACCTTGTCAAGATACAGGCTGAACCTGGTAAAGGTCATTGTCCAGAGTAAAATGACTTATATGGACATGGGCTGAAAGGCAGCTCAGAGTTAATGAAGCTAGAACTCAAAAAGCAACATGAAAGGACAGATTAGTTCATGGAAGATGTCTGATAGGAACTAAGCTTTAAGAGTTTTACAATAACGATGATTTTTTTTTTTTTTTTCCATTTGGAGGAAGAAGAGAAAACTTGCAACCATGAGAAACACCAAAAAGTAATGGCATCATAAGGAAAGAACATCATTTTTGAAATATTGAAGCAGCATCCAAACATACCAGTCAGGTGTTGTTGAAGCATTGGTGCAAATTAGTCTTCCAAATGAACATTTAGCACACTATCACATTGTAAATGAAATGGATTAAGGACAACAAAGTCAATGATTGGGAGTGGCAATCACAAAGCCCTGGTCTCAGTCCCTTAAGTGGGCAGAGCTGAAAAGGCATGTGCCGGCAAGGCAGTCTACAAACCGGACTCAGTTGTGCAAGTTCTTTCTGGAGGAATGGGTAAAACTTCCAGCAAGTTGTTGTGAGAAGCTTAAGATAGGCGCCCCCAAAAATATTAAGACAATACTATCAAATACTCAAGGAATGCATGTAAACTTAGGCACCTTAAGAAATGTATTAAAAGTTTTCTAAAACTCTAAAATATGTACTTAAATCATCTTTGCCATTTAGCAAAATTACATATTTTTGATCATCTCGACTGATAGAGTGAGGGGAACAAAAAAGGTTATGTGCTTTTTTTTATAAAGTCCATGTAAATATCTGGTTTCAGTTGTACAGTAATGAAATTAATCTAATTCCTTGCTTGTTTTGTTGACATCGATGTACTTCTTGAAGCAAAGATATTAGAGAATCTGTGACATCGCCTGGGAATTAAATTTCATTCATACTGAAATACTGAAGGCATGAATGAAAATGATTGCTAAGGAAATGAGACTGGTATCTGAGGAAAAAAAGCTTTGAGAGGGCCTGCGTGACCCCTTTTTCAAAATGAGTCACCCAAAAGACATAGCCATCTGTGAACATGTCAGGAGTTATCTTAACATCCCCGTCTCCCACCTACTCGGCACACACTCATCTTTGAGTCATAACAACTTCTTTAAAACTCACACCTACTGTTTTTAAATGTGTAAATAAAACTTAAATGAAAGTGCTGCTCCAAAACAGCGCTTTCATGTACAATGTCCCCCACCTCAACGTGTACAATGTCAAGGCACAGTTTTATCCATGTTTACAAATAACACAAATAGCTTTGAACGGGATTCTAATCAGCCACTTCCTGCTATGACCTTTCAACTTTTAGGCTACCACAAGTGGAGGCCTCTCTCTTTCCGAAGATTTGCAAAAGAAGAAAAGCTAATTTTTTTTCCCACCTTGGTAAACTCTTTAGCAACGACATCCCAATACTCCCAACAACATTAAAAAAAATTAAAAATAAAAAGCAAAAACACACAACCATTTATTTTCTCCTGAGCTAGAGAACCAACACTGACCAACACATTTAATCCTTCTTCCATAAAATCTGATTCACGGACGGTTTAATTACAAAGATGACACTTTCCATATTTTCATCCTTCCAAACTCCTCTCTTAACATCTGTTTTATTCATAAACTGAATTTAGAAGTTCGATTTTAAACACCCGGAGGAACTGATAAACTCTCTTTATAATTTCGATCAGAATTTCTGGTGTCGAGTCTGAGTTTATAAACGGCACCCAAGAGTTCTCCGCTGTGTTCCAAGCGCGATTTGTAAAAACTAAACGGCAACGTTAAAACACAGCACAGTGATAAATGTAGTATGTGCAGCCGCTTTTGCTATTGCATTGCTTATCCAACATTTTATTCATAAAAAGTCAGCCTTTTCATCGTAAATTAAGCAACCAATAGGAGAAACTAGTGACGCACTACACTTGGAAATGACCCCAGCTGAAGGTGGAATTCTACACTGGAAAGTCAGATGTTTCCAACTGAGTTCAACCCTTCTTATAACTGTTCCCACATTTTGTGACAAAGAGGAGACAACATGGCTCCAGAGATTTAAACAGGTCGAAAATATTTTAACAGAGAAGAAAAAAAATCTGCTTTTAATGATTCTTTGAAACTATTGCTTTGGCACCAATGCTTAGATCCGAGGTGAGCACTGACCCAGCATTGGCACCCTTCTGTCTAATTTCTTTTCAGAAAACTCCTCAATAGGCAAGATACTTACTTACTTAGAATAAGGCTGTTGAATTCATTTATCTTGCGTACTCTCTGTATGACAATGAGAAGTTACAGAAAGTATTTAGTGCCAACAAATCTCTGTTGTTTAAGAGGTCGGCCTGACATTACTGATTGTTAGTTAAATCCTCACGTGCTTAAATATCTGCCAATTTAATTTGGCATAGTTGTAAGAAGTTAACCAAATGAATTGTTACTGTTACTTTGTATTCTTCATTTCACTTTAGGCAGTCTTTAATGTTGTGTACATTATAACTGTAAAAATCCATCGCTTTATTTCTTACAAAAATGCAAGCCTAGAAGAGTAAACATGAAAGTGTTGATTAGTTAATATGATGCAGTTACTGCTGAAATGTATCGCTAGTACAATTTATTCTTTCAAAAATGCCAACTAAGGACAGCAAGACAAAATAAAACAAGTAGTTAGGTCTTAATTTTGCATAACTGAGTTGGTTAAGCTGCATTAAAGTAGCTGGACAAATCTAACCACAATCTCATATTTTCCATATAGTTTGCATCACCACGCTTATTTTCCACTATGATGATTTAAACTGCTCCTTTCACAGTTCTCATATACTAGCATTTCATTTGTGATTTAGACAGTGGCATAAATTATGAATTGAGCTGGAAAGCTAAATACCCCTGCACATCCGCAAGATTTTTTTGATCTAAAAACAGCAACACACACAAACATAAAAGGTGTCTTGCTAAAGCCTCCAACCTAGAACTACCAGCAGCATGAATTGAACAGAGAAATAAATCTAATATTCTGTCAAAAATGGCTGTGGAAGCTCCTACTGCACAAAATTACTCCTTACACATTAACCCTAGATTATTTCCTGACAATAAATAAGATTTTCGAAGACTATTGGTATTCAAGCATCTCTTTTTCCATACAAGTCAAAGCCCATGTTTCCCTCTTAGTCAATTTGTCCTTTTGCATCATGCACCACAATAAAGTAGCAGCACTCATGACATGTAAGCAAAAATGCACCTGCATTCCTTTGACCACTTGCTGAGAGTAAAAATGGTATTTTCCAGTGTTGGCACCACTTCACAAACAGTGTTTGTGCAACAGATACGCCTTGCAGAAATGCAGAGCCTGTAAAGACGCTAAATGATTTGATCTGCCATAGCCTTTGTCAAAGCTGTGAAAGTCGAGAGACATGATCAGATTTTCCTACGTAGGTGGTGTAAAAGAGACACGCACACACATAAAGCAGGCTGATCGGCTGCTGTGCGGAGTCGACATGCACTCGGGCTGACATTTTCTCCAAGACTGCAGCTTCCTGCACAAACCCACACACCGACTTGCCTTCAGACGAAAGGACAGAGCACTTGCTGGACACACCCACTTATTAATGAGGTACTTGCTCATTTCTAGATTGCAGACGATAAAAATGGTAAAACAGACCCACCATTACTCACTAAACAGACTTTATCTACCATCAAAATGACTTCTTTCCAAATGTTGACCCTCCCCCCCACCTCTCTACCCCCTCCCATGGTTACACTGTTCTATGAAAAAAAAAAAAAAACCTGTTTGACAAGTCATTTTTACCCCCATCTGTGTTTATTTTTTCCCCCTTAGCCTCACTAGTCTCAGTCTGACATGTTGAGGGTTGATTACACTCAGATTACTTCTCATTCTAAAAAAATTAAAAATGACATACGTTAAAGTACACCTGATCTTCTTTATCCAAATACAGTTTTCTTGGTGTAAGAAAAGTTTGACATCAGCCTCCATCTTCATAGCAGACCAAAGAATAAGGGAGATGGGAATAAAGTGGATAAAGTTGAAACGGTGTTAGATTCACAATCTGAAAAAGAAAAAGTATGGCAGAACAGAAAACCTACAAAGTCATGACTGTCCACCAAAACTGACCGGAAAGGCAAAGAATGTGTTTACTGGAGAAGAAGCTAAGAGGCCGATCATAACTACAAAGGAGCTTTGGAGAAATACTGCTTAGGTTGGAGAATCAGTTGAAACCACAACGGTTAGTCATGTTCTCCAGAAATCTGAGCTATTATGGAAGAATATGCCATCGTGTTTGGCAAAAGGTGATCTCTTGAGTCGAAACAAAAATAAAAAATAAAAACTTTTTTGTCTCTAAATGTCATGTATAGTATACTTCACATCATTCTAAACACACCAACCCTGCAGTGCTACATGGCAGTACCATTATGCTGCATGAATGCTTTCATTCAACAGAGACAGGAAAGTAGTCAGAGTTGATGGGAGGATGGATGAAGTTAAATACAGGCCAATCCTGGTAGAAAACCTGCTAGAGTTGAGACGAGAGAGATTCAGCCTTCAGGTAGAGAATCCTGATTTTTAAAAAAAAAAAACAAAACAAAAAAAACAACCAGAGCTACATTATAATAGTTTAGATCAAAGCACATTCAGGTGTTGCAAAAGCCCAAAGTCTAGACCTAAATCCAATTACAAATGTATGGCAAGTCATAGAAAATCTGGAGGGTTGAGTACAAATGCATGCCACACTTTGCAGCCTTTGTCTTTAAAAAAAAAAAAAAACAAAAAAAAAACACTTGCGCTTAACAATATCTACCACTTTGAGTTGATTTGTCAAATAAAATTCCAACAGAATACACTGAAGTTTGTATTTGCGACAATATGCATTTCTGAAGAGAGAAAGTGGTAGTAAAACTTCTGCAAACCCTCATGTTAGTGCATCATGTTTATTTTAGTAGTCTTGTGTCTCGTTTCAACTGAGAGGTACGACGTGTTTCTATACACCATTTTGTTTATTTCCATTAAAAATAGCTTTTTTTGGTTATGTAGATAAATATATATTTTGGCATACTCCAAACTGCAAATACAGAAAGATGTGTGTTAGGCATGAACAAAACTGCAAGACATGTCTAGGTAGGCATGTTTAGGCAACATACAATTCTTAATCTTTATTTCAAAATTGGCATAGTTAATCCAGCGGTAAATGAGAGAACACCCAGTGCACATCACAGTAATTGTCTTTAAAAAGCATCAGTTTTGCTTGACAGTGTCTACATTCCAAATGAAATCCGTCTTTCAAACAAAACACTTAAAAGCATTCGCTTGTCTGTTTCGATATCTGTATGCACGTGTGCTTGAGTGTCTGCGTTCTTGTTTGCTCATGGGAAAATCTCCAGGTGTCCCCTAAACCAAAAAGTCAACCTCATGATCTCGAACGCAGGCAGCAGTAAACCAGCACAATGGTTAACTGATCCATATTCCAATCGCTGCAGCACACCTGCAAACAAAGCCTGCCCCTTCTTTCCCCTTTTCAGAGTTTACGCAGGCTAGAAAAAGGGGTTGTACCAGAAGAGAAAAGCTTTAGTTTTCACTTGCAAGGATCTAACTTTTTGCAGTCCTACAAAAATTAAAAAGCCATATGTCACCAAAAAAGTATAAAAGTAAGATTCAGCTTTTAAAACACTGAAGAACAAAGGCTGCCATAGGAAAGTACTGAAAACGACTAAAGGTCTTTTAAAAGATGTGGCTACACAAACTTCATGAACAAAAAGCTGCCACCATTTTCAAATTTAGTTAGCATTTCTGTTCTGTATGTTAATATAATACTATAAAAAAATTTGCATAGTACAATTTTAACAGTTTTGTCTGTTCAAATTAAGTTTTTCATCCTTTTGGTCCCAAAGGTGAAACTCTAGCTGCTATGCTTATGCAACATTTAAAAAAAAAGTTCATGAGTGGTAAACTTCGTCTTTTTGGTACTTTTTACCAAAAAAAAAACAAACAAAAAAAAAACAAAGTAATGTTCACCATTAAAAATAGGCTAATTTAGCACTGACTCAAGTCCTTCCATGAGTCTACCGTGTGAAAGCTTTGCTTTGATTAGCTCGAACGATATCGTCAGGTGAAGGAGAATCAAAACGGAAAGGTACAATAGGAAAAAGTGGGGGGCAATGCTCTTTGGATTTGTTTTGTGGTTTGAAAAGGAAGGACTGATAAGCACTTTTTGTCTTCTGGCCTTGTATTTTTCCTTTCATTAGCTTTCTCCTCCTCCTCCTTGGCCTGTAACTCTGAAACGACAAAGCGATCGCAAATACTGAAGGTTTTGCAAAAACAGACAGATCTTGCCCCAAGCCAAAAGTTGGAGTTGGAGTCGGAGACGACGGTGAGGAGAAGTCGCTGTCGAGGTGATGAGGGCTCATTCTGTTGGCCTGCTCCATGAGTCTGCTCAAATCGATAACTTGACCTGGCTTAGATGGGCTGCAGACCTGCTGGGGTGGTTTGTGGTCAGGCTTGCGCTCAGTTCCACCCTTGTTAGTACTTTGTGCCAACGCATCAGCCCTCTCTGGTTTTCCTCTTGACACAAGGGAGCTGAGGGTGCCTAGCGACCCATTTGAGGTGGTTGAGGTTTCGCCTTTATGTTCAGATACTAAATGTGACAAAGAAAGCAGCTCCGAGAGGCCAGGTGCTTGTTTCAGTGCACTTGCTCGAGATTCAGTGCCGGCGGCCAGAAAAGAGGCAGAGGCACAGTTGGTTTCATGCTGCTGGGCTAGATCTGACAGTGTGACAGTACCACCCAGACGAAACGGGGAAGAGTGCGTGTTTAATGATCTTTCAGTGCCTTGAGATTCAGAGTGAATCCCTCTTTTTTGATGCTGAAAAGCTAGGTCAGACAAGGAAGGTGAAGCATTCCACTGGTTAGCAGGGGTGAGCAGTGAGCTTTGCAAAGTTGGACTGCGGTTCGAGTGTTCTTGGATTAAATCGGCCAAAGATGGGCCTCCTTTAGGATCTACAACTGAGCGCGGACTGTAATTCCTGACAGAACTGAGGCTTCCGAACCCAGGAGGAGGAGCCAGAGCGGAGCTTGCTGTAGGCACGTTTGGACTGTTTAGCGACAGATTACCGAGCGAGAAAGAAAGGATGGAGGGAGTCGGTGTTTGTGGCGTTGAAGTCGTTTGTAAAGATGCCAGCATTCCAAGTGAAAAGCCACTCCCGCTAGACGGAGTTGTCATTTGGCAATTAGATGCTAAAGGTAAAATGCTCAAGGAGGAAACTGCCAACCCTCGCCCTGTATCACTTACTCCTGTTTTACTCTTCTGCTCATGCTCAGACATGAGCTGAGCCAAACTGGTACCACAGCTGATGCCTAAACGTGCACTTTCAGGGTGAATGTTTTCCTTGACAGAGCTGCTGTTCGCCGGGTCGGGTTTATGTTGCAACAAGTCGTTCTGCATATTGACTTCACTTGGTTGTGTAGCTTTGTGTGCCCTGGGTGTGTTGTCTGTGTGAAACAAGCAGGCTCCTTACCTTACAAAAGCCAAGTTGAGAAAGGACAAGAGCGATCACAAAGCAGAAGGCATCGACGAGGAGGAGGGAAACAGGAAGAAGGCAATTCGTTAATCAATTGCATGATTTAAATGCATCATCACCTGAGCCTATGCTGATTAAGTTTCTAAAAACCACTAAACCAATGATTGTCTGAAATCTTTTTCTATGCATCTGAATACATTTTAGCCTCTGAAATATCAAAACAAGAAACATATCAATTCACTTTTGTGTATTTAATAATATAATTGATAACAGAAACAGGAAAATTCTTTAGTTACACATAAAAATCTTAACATGCTGTAGCAACATATGAATTAGTAGAGACATAAGAGATCGACTGGTGGCGAGAAACTGGTGATTTTCAGCTTTACTACAGACACTCTAATATCTGGTCTCCAGTACAATATACTCATTTCAGAAAGTGAAACTCATATTTTATTCCACACAAAGAATATTTTCATGCTGTCCTCTGCTGAGAGGTTTTGTATAAATGCTGATTTCATTTGCCCAAACTGTACCAAAAGCTCTCCTACAATCACCAAAGTGTTACTGTGCTTAACTGGCCAGCAAATCAGCCTGACTGGAACCCAGTACAGAGTATTATCAAAAGGAAGATGAGAGACCAGACTCAATAATGCACATGACCTGAAGGCTGCCATCAAAGCAACCTGGGCTTCCTACACAGAACCACAGGTTGATTGCCTCCATGCAGTAATTCATACAAAACCAAGTACTGAGTGCACAGAAATTAATGTAATTTTAAGAAGCTGATGTTTTTGTTTAAAACATTATTTTTTTATTGATATTATTTCTCAGACACTGAATTTTGGGCTTTCATTGTGTATAATGAACATCACTTTCTGAAAATAGTTGAACTTTTTCACAATGTTCTAATTTTTGGAGCTGAATTAAATGAATGCATTATAATTAAGAGCTACCAGGTCACACTAAGCATAGTCCTTAGCCTGAAAGAAGTAATAGTAGAAGTGAACACATTTTGCTATTTTCAGAAGACATGTGAAGAGAGATGAAACACATTATAAGCAGCTTTTTCCTGAGAAAACTATTTTTCACTGTATTTTCTCAGGAGGCTATTCAAACTACAAAAAAATCGACAGCCAACTTAGACTGGTACTGATAATTTTGATCTTTTAAATTTTTAACATCTATTAGGTATGATGAATATGCCAAGGGATTCATATCCGACCTGAGGGATGTTTTCACAGCTTAACAATGGGGTGACTTCAGAACCCACCAAACAGGCCAATCAAGTTGCTCTGTTTTTATTCCTCTGAGGTCTATAGTAGCTGTCTTCCATCTAGCACACTGGATTTGGAAGCACAGACAGCTTTCAAAAATACTAGATTTACTGTAAGGATCTGCATTCCCTGTGGAACACTCACAGAAACCAATGTGGCTGCAGTTTTGTAATGTGAAGCAACGAGTACTAATCACTAACATAAGATGCTAATTTATCAACTTCAAATCATTTCGTGTTCACAACAGTCATATTTTGAACACAGAATTTCAGATTTTGATCCAGTACCAGCGTACCTTTCTCAGCGACGGCCTCCTGCTTGGTTCTCTGTGGAAGAGGCGTCTGCTCTTGTGCAACTCGGCCCACCGGCGCCATGTCTTCAGCTGCACTTCTGGTAACCGGTGCTCTTTCACTGTCTTCAGACAGCACTGCGTCCAGAGCCCTCTGTGGATCAAATCCGTGTTTCATGGCAGCCTGGGTCAGGACGGAGTCTGGCACTGCATCTCCCAGTACTGCTCGCATGTGGTCCAGACAGGAGAACAGCTTCGCTAAGAAACGAGGGAAACGAGACAAATGTAGAAAAAAAAAAAACAGTATAAAGATTATGACAATATAATTCATTTATGTTAACAATAGTTGGCTGCAGTTTTTTTATGAATACCTTGATTAAGAGGGTCAAGGTTGAAGTCAACACAAGGGGACATGGGAACATCCTCATCTTCATATTCTTCCTCCTCTAGAGGCTCCTCTTTAGGTGCTTGACGCTCTCGGCGTGAATAGATGAACTGATTGGCTAAATAAACAGAAATACCTTCACTTACAGGCTGATATACATTTTTTATGGTACACGACAATCAATCATCAAGGATTCAATGGAAATCTCTTTCCACCGTTGGACATACTGTGAACTGGACTTACGCCTTCAGATGGCATTTTTATACTGAATATATATTAGCAATTCTTCAAATACAGTCAAAAAATTAAAACGGCTGTAAAATATGAAACAAACAATGCAAACAACGTCATTACTTTCTTTGCTTTATATTTGAAACATCAAAACAAGAAACCTGAAAGTACAAGGTGCAAGTCAGAAAACAGTGAAACTTGGTAAAAGGATGTCAAAGAAAAAGTAGGATGATTGGAAAGTCCCTGCAATGAATCACAAGCAGCTTAAATCCATCACTTTCATTAATGCAACTCTTTTTTTTTTTTTTTTTTTTTTTTTTTTAAAATAATTGGGAAGCCAAGTGTGTTATCGCTGCAAAGTAGGCTGATTGCAAGACGGCAACCGCCCTATCCGCCCTGGTCCAGCTTGTAGGTGTTGAACTCCCAGAGCACAATGACAAAAATTAATATTCTGTGCCACATGTTTCCATAAAACTGTTAACAATTCTACTGAAGTGTGTTCTACATTTTTTTATATCTTCTACCACTGAATATTTGTTTAAAAAAACAAAAAATCACTTGCAACTAAAGTATGATTGAAACTGAAGCAGAATTTAATTCTTGAATTTCCAAAGTAACTTCAACTGAAATTCATTGGAAAATCAATGTCATGAGTTGTTTATACAGTGACTGTTGGCACACTCAGTTGTGTTCTCTTACTTGCTCAATATGCAAAGATGTCTCATAATCAAAACACCAAAGAAACGTTGTCATTATTATTATCATTATCATCATTATTATTATTACTAGTGTTTTAGCACCTATAATAGACATTGATTATCTGTTTAAAATACAAGTGAAATGATCATGTTTCCATGTTTCATTTTAAATCTGTGTGTACATATTATGGTCCTTTGAAAATGTAGCATTTTTATACTCAAGTTTATCACACTAAGAGAATCGTACCAGTTTATGACAACTTTACAACTAGTAATCTTTAAAATATTTTACCAGAATAATATATTTCTAAAAGTCATCTCATCTTGAAAGTAGCAAGCGGTTTTTGTTTTTCTACATGGCTCTTTGCTTCTACATGTGAATAGATGATGTGGCTTATATAAATATTGCTTATAAAATCCCCGTGATCATTTAAAACCAACCTGTTGCTGGTGAAATGCAGTAGTCATCCTCCACAGACTGTCCATACATGTCGTCATCTTCAAAGTCTAGACACACAAAAAAAACAAAAATACAGTTAAAAAATTGTTTTTTTTTTTTATCATTTTAATTTTGCTTCACAATATACTTGTTTATTGACAAAAGCTGTTGTCTTATCTGACAGCTGTCACTGCTTTGTCAGCAGTTCTTAAAAATCCTCAACATACTGTAGCCCTGGATTATGAATGTGTACTTTTATCAACCATAAAAGCCACATAATGGTTTCAGCAAATATACTCAGAAGATTTCTAACCAAAAAGACGAATCTACACAACAATAAATAAGTGAATCCAGGCGTCTTTGACAAAATATTTAGTAGTTAGCAGCTGCTAGCAGCGTTTGCAGTGTTATCATTTGTTGAGTCCTCATGATAGCAGGTTTTATGATACAATAGTTTTAAACCATCTTTATAATTTGGTGGGAAAGCATATTCTAAATGAGCTGCATTTAGAATATGCAGCAACAATATTTTGGCAGCTGCATAAGCTAGTGTTAGCTGTTAGCAACGCAATTGTAAACAACAGTAAAGTTTAGCTTAGCTGCTAGCATGTTTAGCATGACGAGCCCCGGCATTTAGCTCAAAATATGAACCATTTCTGTGTGAAAGGTCTCTACCTTCATCGTAGTTGTAACCTCGAACATTTCTGTGGCGAGACATTTTGCCTGTGAGTCCCCCCTATCTGCCCTGGAGTGAAAGTTATTCAGCTCGAAGACATGTGCATCACCGAACTGACTGCCATTGGAGGTCGTTTCAGTGCAGCAAAATATATCGGTCTTAATTTGGCAACTTTAAAAGTAAATTAATTATATATAAAACTCCTATTTATTTTACAACATTAACACATTTAATTTTTTCTTAGCAGGTAAAATAGCTTATTTTTATTTTAAAAAGTAAAACTTTTTTTTTTTCGATTACTGACGTAACTTCCTCTTACATCGACGTGGCCTGGAATCAGTTTTAGTTGAACAGCTTCGCCACAATCCACAGTTTATGCTGTTTTTCATACTGATCTCCAGTCAGAATCTGTTTTGCAGAGCCTAAGTATGAACTAAGATAAATAAAGGAACATCAAATATATAGGAGAGGGATGTAATAATTCCAAAAATACCATACATATGCAATATCCCTCAGTCGTATGTACAAGAAATAATAAATAAATAAATAAATAAATAAATAAATAAATAAATAAATAAATAAATACTCGGTTTCAACAATGCTCCGTTATATATCTACAGTACATATTGTTATATAATCCAACATTTATTTACCCTTCTCTGCTGCTCTATTCTTGACTTATCTGGAGTATTCCTTGGTCACTATGATGGTGTTTAATAATGTTCTCCAACAAACGTCTGAGGCCCTCCAAAGGTCATTGTCACAATACACTCATTTGCAAATTAATGATTCCTGAAGACATTGAAGACACTGGCTTTCCTTTAAGTGTAAGGAGGACTGTATACATGCAAAACTAACACTTTTCAGATTTTTCTTTATAGATCTCATTGAAATCAGCCTCTTTCATCCACTTCATGGTTATGCACTACTTTGTGCTAATCTCTATAACAGTCTTTAAACAAATACATTTAATTGTATGGTTGTAATGTGAGAAAGTTCTATCTGTATGAATACTTTAGCAAGGTGTTAGAAACACTTCAAGAGGTCAAGAGGTCATGAGTGCTGAAACAAGTTGAGAAACACCACCTGCATGCAACACTCTTATTAAGCCACTACAATTTTGGGGTGTGAATGTCTCAACCATTTTGTCAAAGGTTATGCCCTCTGGTTAGAGACCAGCCCATGTGAGCTCATTCTACACCTTGTACACAAACAACCCAGAGTGACATCTTTTTTTTTTTTCAGCTATCTTTGCATTACAAGAAACATAAAGCCTGCTTACCACAAAAGGAAGAAAATGGGCTGATAGAATAGTAAGATAATTGCATGCACTTGTTTCACTACTGTTCTGGCACTAGCATTTTACAGTCACAATTCATTGGAACAGAGATGGATGTGTAATTAGAGAAATTAAAATGTATTTATCCGCAGTAGCTTACATGTGGGGATAAATCAAGTAGAAAACGTCATAGAATAACATGATATGATCAGTGCTGCAGGTGAGATATGCTCCTGCACATCTGCACTGTGACATGGAATATGAAGCTTGGCGTGTCTCCCTAAACTAAAAATAGAGCACAAAGAAAAGAAGGCAGGTTTTTAGTGAGGTAATTGTGAATAACCTCACAATCTATAGCTTTTCTCTGAAAGGTTCAGATGGCAGCTTGATGAACGGCACATTTGACTGACTTAGTTCACCAGGAGGTAACTATTATAGGAGGATCATTCATATCAAGAGAGGCTGCTGGCTGAGATGTTTACTATGGGTTGTGCACAGTTCACCTTTGGTTAAGAGAGCATGTGCGCGTGCGTGATCACCTTCTAGGTGGGTGGAGGTTTCCCCTCTCAAAATTCCACTTCCTGCTCTTTTGAAGTTGCACATCTACATGTGAAAATAAACAACTGCTCTTGCACATATGGAGCACATGCATACAATTAAAACAGACACCAGCCTTGTTCACTTTACAGGGTCACACAGGTGATACGGGGAGAAGTCTTCCTTGTGCATAAGCAAAATGTTTCTGGGGCATTTCAAAACATCAACTGCATGAGAGAGAACTTCATAGGATATGGAACATATTCCATATATATATATATATATATAAAATGTAAACACTGAATTTATAGCGCTATTTGTAACTTTAATCTCAAGGTGTGCTGTAAAAACCATAATTGACCAAACAAAACCCAACAAAAAGCACAAGGCAGGATGAAAGATATGTCCATTTTATTTAAATGCTTTCAGGATTACTTTGAAGTCTCTTATAGGATGATCAATGAAAACATGCAATGATTTTGTACGCTGTGCGCTGCAACGAGGCAGAGGTGTGATTTTTCACACCTACGTTCATCTGAACATTTGTTTCCCTTTGAACAGTTCTGAAACGGTATCTGGTCAAATCTGTGCTGCAGACATGGCCACAGAGTTCAGGGAAAGCCGTATCAATGAATCAGTGGTAGGAGAAAAAGAATTCCTGAAAAAAAACAATAATGCGATGATGAATTGGATTAAACAGATGGAACAACAGATTGCTAGAAGAATGAGCGGATCAGTGGCATATTCCAGTGTATTGTTTAACTTGTAGAAACGTTTCTAAGCTGGCTGTTTACATGGCACACTTACAATTTTATTTTCCCATGAATTTCATAGGTATTTTTTTAGGGGTACAATTATTATCAACAGAATCAAGTGAAAGCAGAAGAAAATGCAAATCCGTCCACAACAGCATGTAAATTTGATCATGCATTAATCTCGTTGCACTAGCAGAAAACAAAGCTACTGTGCATGCAGTGGGTGAGGGGTAAAGTCTGGCTAAAGAGCTGGCACTGGATATGAGATAATGTTTTACATAATTTGCTAGGGGCAGCAGGCATTATGGGAAGTCTTTGACAGGAACTCACCCAAAGGAAAATGCAAAACAAGCTCTACTGGTAGTCAGGTTCTGACAACTATTCATTGAAGGAAAAAAAATATGAGGCACTCAAGGTTGCAAGCAATAAAATTAAATGCATAATCATGTACTTTGAAAAGAATCCTCATAAGCTTTAAACTTTTTCATGTTTTGTGAAGACTTCACCAAAAAGGTGAGGAATAAAATTGTGTAGAAGTTTAAAGCATTAGTTGTAAAACAATACTGCAAAATTAAAAGGAGCTCTGGGTATACGGCCATACATTTAAAGAAGATGAAACTTTTGCAAACCTACCAAGAGACAGCTGCCGACCTAAGGCCAGCCAAGTGGAGTAAACTAGAAAAGTAGCCATAGTATCTCAGAAGGACCTGCAGAGAGCAACACCTCTGTTAGTATATAGAAATCTTGGTCATGGACTCCACAGTGGCTGATGTTTTTGAAAGAGTTGCAAGAAGAAAGAAGTAGTATTCACAGTTTTCTACAGGCCATTTATGGAACATGGTAAACACATGAAAGAAGGTGATTTTATGGGTTAAGACCTAAATTCAACTTTTTGATCTGCATGAAAAATGCTTGCGCTTGATATCTTCCTGAACACATCATCATCACTGTAAAACATGGTGGTAGCATAATGCTGTGGGGTTGCATGAGGAAGCTGGTTTATGTGGGATAAATACAACAAAATTCACACAGCTTTTTTCAGTTTTTTTTTTTTGGACAAAATTTGAAAACAGTGGACTTCTCTCCTTTCATTTCCTGTTTTTGAACTGGCTTGCTGGTCTGTCATCTAAAATCCTGACACAGTACATTGTAGTTTTTGTGGTAATAACAACAAAATGTGGAAAACATTTAGAGGTTATGATCACTTTTGGAAGGCACTGTAAACAATTAAAGTTATATTTGTGTGTTTTTGCAAAAAGCTATTTGCCCTAAAAATAGTGGGGATAATGTAAGCTGCTGAGAACTAATACACATCTAGTCTATGATTAGTCTTTCATTAACACTTATCAGACAGGAAGTTGATCTTTTTAACCTCACAACAATACACAATCACATCTACCAGCTCTTTGACTTGGAATGAGCCTTTTTTTCAGTGGCCTATTTCACGTACACAGCAGACTCTATGGCATAAACGCAACCAACAAGGAGTATGTTTTGCTATCCCAGCTCTAGATTTCAAAGCTAGATGGGATGATATCCCCAGAGGCAAGGAGTTGTCATTAAAATCATTCAAATGAGCCAACCTGTGCACACAAGGCTTTGCAAAGTGGTCAGCCATTATAATGCCTGCCATCAACCTGTCCAATCGCGCCCATGCAAATGTCCCAGGCTGAACCTTCAATGGGTCTGAGGGCTTCCTGTTTGACCTACTACGAACAATTTGCATAGCCTCGTTCTCTTGTCTCTAGTTGGTTTCAGATAACTATGTGCAGTTTGAAAATATTACCCTCTAGGGAAAGGTAGTATTATATGATGGGGGTTTGTTCAAATTTATAGAGATAGTCATGTGAGTCAATTAAAAACAGGATTAAAAGTTGGTAAAAGTGGGACTTAATAAATTTTGACCTTACAAGCTGAACCACTTCATCAGACCCACTTTATTTTATATGTGGGGGATTTTGCATTGCGATCTCACATACCTGCTATGTAATAAGGAATTAGAATGGAATAGAAATACCACCTCCTCGAGGCACAGGTGGTAATGCATGTGCACACAGGTGTGCATAGGAATTGAAGCCCAGAAGTGATTGCATGTAGGCAACAGTGATGCATTACATCATGGATCTGTGAAGATAATCATTGGAAATAAAAATCTGAGCCAAACCTTAAGAGAGTGACTCTGGATTAATAAGCACATTTTATGTCTATAATTTGTAAGTAATAACTTGGCGTAATAATTTGACTGAGTTTATTACAAGTACACTGCTTGTTGTTGCACGTAAAAGTGAGACTTTCTATCCATGGCAACATGTACAAGTGCATGTGTGTACCCCATTGTCAGTCCCCTATTATAATAGTTTATCCTGGGACAATAGGCTGTTCTGGGGTGATGGTAATTACAAGTGACCAGGACAATAAGGTCGCGTATGGAGGAACTAATACAATGAGAAGACACATTTATACAAATAAAGCATTAAGCCCCCTCCTTCCTGCAATGAATGCTTGAGTAAGGACAGTTTTGGCACATGGAGAATTCAAAAACAACACAAAAATAATCAGAACAAAAAACGAGCATTGCTCTGGAAAAAAAGAGGGAAAAAATACAAGTT